ACTTATAAGCGTCAGTCGCTTAAGTAGACCACGTAGAATTTGGATTTTGGAGTAAAAACAAAATATGAAGTATTGGAATGGACCTTATTTGTGTAGATATAGCATTTCAATCTATCGTTATAATAATTATGATTGAGACAGTGCAATAATTTTACTATTTCGTAGTAATATTACTCCGACTTACATTAAAACGTCGTCTCTTCGACTATCAGAGGCATATTACAATAATATACGCAGTGGTGGTAGTAAAAATTGACACTCCCTGGCCTCAAGTTTTCAATGGGTATAACTTATATATCATTAATCGACATAATAATTACGAACCAAATGTAAACATCAAACTTTCATCCGCAGTTATATACTTGATTGTAATATAATATAGGAAATCGCATCTATCGAGAGTCTATATCGACTGCAGTATACCTATACATAGAAAATATATCACACCACAGACTATATACACAAATCACTAATTAACCAGTGTTTGTAGTTCGCATATTATCGTCATTTTCACCTCATGCAGTGGGTCTTATGTAATACATGTATATTATAATATAATGTACAATATTATACCGTTATAACATTGTGGAATTTTCAACCGTATATAGGTACATACCATAGTGTTTGTATTGTACGAGAGACATGATGATGATGTATACCTATGATAATATAATGCGCCGATATACGAAGGTTATACATCATAATATTTCGAAAACCGATTCATGACCTTTCTGTGCCCAGCTACACATAGCCTTCGAGGCTACACACTACCTACCTACCTACCTAGGTGTAATCTCGTCGCAACAACAATTGGAGCTCGAAAAATAATTATTATTACTCCGTCTTGTGCAGCGCAGCAGTTAATATTTTAATATTATTGTATAGTGTCTTCGCGTGCTCATTGATCGTTCGCCGGCACAATATAATATCGCGTTTGGCGATAGGGACTCATTTTACGACACGGAAACACGAGGGACGACTGTTATATCTTTAACCTACAGCCCCCCCCCCCCCATCCCCTTTGGCAGGAGGCTTCCACTGCACGTTCGGGGTTATCGCTACTTAAAACCAAAAACGGTATACTACGAGACGTTGATGCGGCATCGACGCCGCCATCCGCCGTACTTATAATATTATAATGTCTACTGCACAAGCCGTAGACAATGCAAAGCGCCTTTCAATTATAGCCTGTGAGATCGTATAACACGAGAGACGGTATATAGAGTCGAACCCCCGCCAACCTCCCACCCACTGAAATATTGTAAGCTAACCATTTCATTGAATAAACCACATAAAATGAATTTAAATTCTAGAACTGCAACGATAACCATATTGGATCCACTTCTCGTAGGAAACATATGAAATAAAATTAAAATAGTTATGGTGTTATTATAAATTGTATTAATATATGAATATATACGCCTTTAGTCGCTTTATGGGCGAGTGACTGCAGCGCGCCCAGTGGTTAAAATGCGTAAGGGGTTATTAAAACGATTGACATATTTCTCGGGCTTTTTGTCTTTTTCAATAGGTACGATTGTTAATTATTTATCTATTAACATATACATTGTAGAATTGAAATAAAATAAAACTTCAGTAAACTAAATCGTTTTTTAATATTATACAATGAAATCCACACCGTGGTAACTGGTAACAGTTAACGAAATAATGAGAAAGTGATTGAATATAGTTTTATTCTAATCCACCAATAACTATCTGCAAGATTAAAATTACACCAAATCGGTAATTAATATTAATATTCTAAGTGGGTTTATCATTCAACCATACAATTTAACCGAATATAATATTCACCACAAGATCTCAAGTCTGTGGCATATATCTATACATAATTAATAATATCATAAAGCATCACGTTTGTGTATAATGTAATATCTGTGTTGTTATTTATTAAATTCAACGATCACGTACGCGACACAAAGTGACTTCACATTATGTTGTTATTATAGGAAATGTATTCGCTTAAATTATTTTCACGAATATATGAATAGGAAAAATATATTTGTCTAGCCTTGAGATTAAGAAAAGAATGAGTGTCTAACAAAATATATTGTCAGTAAGACCACAATAATTGATTTTAATTCATCGACTAATATTAACATATGTATCTGTATTTCACGGGCACCAAGTGATATTTTCTGCACCAAGAAATATGAAATCTTAAATCTTATATTATGCAAATGACCCCAGTGCACAAACTTGTGAACTCTCAGATTCCATTTTCTGATTAGATTCTTTTTAAATTACAAACAGTATTTTTCTTTGACAAAATTTTTTAATGCTTTCATTGGCAAGGTTTTTTGTCGTAGTAACAGCACGGAATATGAAAATATACCACTCTAAATAGCTGGTATTAATGGTATTTGAAATTAGAGATGGCAGTCAATATTATAGTCATTTTTTCATTCAGTTTCACACGGTTTATGGTATTGTACAATTGTTGGTAAATATTTTTACCTTTATAATGTTAACAATTAACATACATATTAAATTCAATTAAATGCATTTACTGCGGTACAATAACGAATGCAAACATCGTTTTGTCCTTAACAATTGTATCACATTTTGACATATTATTATGTATGGAGTAAAAATCTACGAGGCTATAACTATAACTGTAAAAATATTCAAGATTTAAAGCTACAAGTATAATATATTATAAGACGTTATCGCTGTGCATAGATTTTAATGTTCTAATACTGCTGTACTCTGTTGGCTTATCCAGTGTATTACGTTTAATCTAAAAACTACATTAAGTACCTATTGTACTCGTAGGAAATAATAATAAGTAGCGTAGTAAGTATAATAACGTTTGAGCGAGATTCGTTGCGTAACGAACAATAGGTACGTATTGAAATTTTTGAAACGCAAAAGCTATATATATTATATTATATTTCCTGAGAATTTGCATTCGATTTCATATTATAATAACGTGACTTATGGAATGCACACGCGAATACAGTGTGGTTAGGTGGACCCATATTGTTGTTCTTCGAGGCAAACTAAATTCAATAGTTTCGACTATCGATTTAATAGTGGTAGCTTGGGTTCGACGTCGACATAATTTTTTTATATTATTTTGGTCTATTGTCGCAATCATATTTTATTGAAACGGATACATGTGATAAACTATTATAGTAAAGCACTGAATAACAAATCCAATTGCATCAAATACATTTGGCTTTAATAATAATTAATAATTGTTGACAATACACATGCAGCGTGTATAGCATTATAAGTATTACAATACAAACAGCAGGTAATATAAATCTGAATTAAACACCCGACCTACTCGTGATCGTGAAGATACATCAAACACAATAGACGTTATAATAATAGGTACAATATCATTTTAAAAATTCTAGTAGTTCTAAGTACATATTGCATATACTCAGAATTGGCTATAAACATTAGGAGGAGGGTCACAATAGTAGTACAAAATGGAATATCATCATACTTCAAACTGTACACTTATAATTGTTGATAGATATTCTACCACCCTTTAACCCCCCCCCCCATCGCTCCCTTCAACCCACCACCCTTCCTATTTCCCACTATGGCACAAACACTATTCTCGGTATTTACATCATACACTGCCACAGAACTTGGGGATACGTTTTAACCAACAATATACCTACGTCATATTAGTACATTATCATTAAACAATACAGTCAATGGTCGTATTAATCATCCGATCGCGAAATAGTTCGATTCGTACTTACATAATATATTTGTATTGGATTCCTCGCCGCGACACCACCGACCGTCGTCCATCCACCCCCACCCCAAAGGTTTTCGAGTGGCGTATTTCACTTTTCGTGTGCCATTACGCAATAATATTTCAAATCTGCCATAAATGCGAGCAATACGTCAAACCGCGCATGTATATGGCTCGTCTTCGTAGTACCTTTTCCCGCCGTGGTGGCATCTTTCGCCTGTCGTCTGCCATTTCGTTATAATATTTCACACATCCTCGCCGTCTCTGTCGGCAGTGGACAATTTAAGCTCATCGAGTGTGCCATATTACACCCTCCGCGCCGCCTCCAATCGCCACACACAATTCATCCCTCTTCCCGCAGCTGATGTCATTTTAAACCATCTTCGGGTCGTCTTTCGCGTGCTCGTCGTCCGAATGCGCCACCCGCACAATAGAATGTGATGAAACGCACTCAACCTACACAAGACAGACGCTTATAAATTATTATAATGTTTGAAACCAAAGATTTCCAATGACAATGGTATAGCAGAACGTACTGTATACCTACCTAATACATGCGTATGTCACCGTCAAAGTAAACATGCATCGTTGCCGTTCAATGATAATAATATAATACGTTACATTGTATACTTTAAATAATGTCTTATAATTTTAGGCTATGCTAACGCCGAATAACTTTTATCAACTGTCAACACTTTAACTCCCTATGACAGATTAGGTATCAGACATATGATAATAATACAATTTATTTTTTGCAACGACAAAGTAAAAGACAAAAAGACAAAAAAATAAAAATAAAAAAGTTGCAAGCTCATCCAATAAGCATGATTATTATATATTTTCGTGTTTTTTTTTTAAATTATTATATCAATTTAAAACGATGAAAGTATTATAATAGATAATAGGTTAAAACCTGATTGGTTTTCTTCGTGTGCATGCGATCTACTTTACCACCTTCAATTTGACGCATTATCAATTAATTATGCACATTATTTAAATAATAAATATGTTATGTAATAAAAAATAATAATATCATAGTAATACTATCAATATGTAATAATTAGAAAATATAATATAAATTAACAAGTGATAAAGATTGTCTATGAATAATATATTATTATAGAGGTTACGATATATTGTACATTATTATAATATGGAATCTATAATAATATTATGTGCCCACATAATATGGTAATCGAAGATCAATGACGTTTTGGTTAAACAAATCGTCGACTTATAAAAATGATTTACTACAACCATTTTGTTTGTATTTTGTTGTATAGGGCATAGGCGCCGATGGACCAGCACCGGTGCACTTCGAGCCTCAAGTTGCTGTGCTTTGCGATGCCAAATCAGATACCCCATACTATAGCCAGTTCATGTCGGAGAATGGTCGGTGGACGTCTGATACGAAACGCAAAGTCGGATGCTTAAAGGAGAAAGTTGACATTTTGGACTACTGTAAAAAAGTAAGAATCCTTGTCTATGCTGTTTTTAAGAACAAAATCATTCATGATGTTATTATTAATATAATTAACTATCGCACCAGCGGTACTAGCGTTATAATAAGTGCGTTTAGACGTGTAGCGTTTTATTTTTACTACCTAGGTACCTATATTATGGTTATTACTCGAAGCTGAGATATTTTATCATAGTGCCTATAGGTACATATTATTATGATCAAAGTAAAATTAAATTAGTAAAATAATATTTTTGTTGAAAAGATGTTAAATATGATGCATGTACCAATATTATGAACAAAAAAAAAAACAAATATATTTCAACATAAAAAGTTTTACTTGAAACGAAATACGATCTAAAAGCATGCGTTTACTGTGTTATAGGTTTACCCCAAGAACGACATTACCAACATAGTGGAATCCAGCCATTACGTAAAAATCGGTAACTGGTGTAAAATGGGATTCAACAAATGCAAGCACACGGACTGGGTGAAACCGTACAGATGTCTTGGTAAGTGTTCACGAAGGTTTATTTATCGCGAACCCTTCAACCGGCACGAGATTAAACTGCTGCCGTTTTTGTTTGACCATAATTTCTCTCGTCTGTAAATCTCCCTTTAATACTAGCCCCACCCTCTTCCACCACACTCATCGCCACCCCCCTCCCCTCCTGTGTCCGTCGATTTACAGTCTTTTATGGCTCTCGTTCCTTATTCCCGTGATTGATTAGCTCTCTCACGCCACCATTTCTTGTCTTGACTTACAATTACACCAAGTATTTGGACTTTGGAGAGCTTACTGATTGGCAGTACCTTTCCGAAAGCTTTTCTATGCTCTGAATGCTGAATTGAAAAAAAAACCGAACCAGACGTTTTGTAATGTATTGGTAGTGGATTCATGCAAAGAAACTACGCCATTGCATTAGCAAAAATAATTGATTTTATTCTGTCGGCCCCTAATTATCAGAAATATTGTCGATTCTTATTACTTTTATATTTATTTCTACTATTATTATCCAATACAGTTTTGCAAATCCAGAAATATATGACGTTTAAAAGAAGATAAAAAATGTAGTAAAATTACATGAGGTTACCTGCAATACTTCAGCTAAAGTCATAACATACCAATCCATCTATACATACAATAACATAGATAAAAAAAAATATGAAAATCAAGTATTTTGATAATAAATCCACGTAAAACATTTTTTTCTTCGATATTAGAGTAATAAATCAAAATATTATAATGATTGAAAATTGGCCAAATTTACTTATTCTTATTTACTCCCAAACAGCCAATTAAACTCTATAATTTCCGAAATTATTACAATAAATAATAACACAGTTAGTTAATATTTCGTTCAATGATCGTCACAACTCTAAGTCTGCGGATGACTGATTGTTTTCCTTGGTTACGAAAATATCTATGTAAGTGCAATATAATGTTTAATTAATATACAGGTAGAACATATAATAAACAATAATTGAATAATGAGCGGCATCATTAATATTGTTTTTGTCACTAGAATTACCTATTTACGTAGACATCTAACGTGGGTATCGGATCGACTATTTTTGTTACAGTTATACATTTTTAAGTACGCCGATAACAATATGGAATTATTATTTATAATTTTCATATTTATTAAATATAATACTCGCACTAGCAGTTTTATCAGAAATAGATTACAGTGATAGATACATGATATAGTATCTTTTAATATTAACATCGTATTCGTTAGTTAGGTAGGTATTCTTTATTGTTCACAAAAATAGATAATTTAAACAAAGAATAACTAAATTATGAACTAAAATTCACAAATGGGCCAAGTGAAGTTTCAATAATTATTATTAATCAATGTGATGAAGTCACCTAATTTAAAATTCAATTAAAATCCGATTTTTTTATATTAATATAAATAATCGTTCAATGTCAAAAGCATACCTAACCCAGAAGTTCCGACAACATAATGCATTATTATGTTCTATTAGCTTAAGTGTATTTTTTCAGTACTAAACACCTATATCTATATAATTTATGCGAAGTATTTAATATCAATGAATAATATTTTTATTAAGTATTTGAAATTCAAATTCATAATATATAAAGTATATTTTACCCAAGTTTGATGCAGCGGATATTATCTCCTCGTTTTTACGCTTGAACTCGCGTAAAAGAGAGTGGGTACCTATCCTACTTACCTACACCATCGTTGAAATTATAATTAAAAAACAATAGACTCTTACTCTTAAGAGATTATCCAGGGCTTAAAAACTCGTCAATCGCCTTGCTCGTACAACGCTCTCGAGACAATTATAATCTGGCACCGATATCTTTGTGCACTCGGCTCACGCAAATCGTTATAACATAAGTTGGTACACTGAGAGCCACCGAACATTTTGTTATTATTTTTATTATCTTTATTGCCTAACTAACTGTGCTAAACAAGATAGTTTTCATTTATCTCATTTTTAGATTGCTGTACTTACTCATGTGTCTTAGCCCTTAAGACATTTTGGATGTATGAAAGTCCTTCAAAATTTAAGTCTACAATATTTATAATATTGCTTTTTGTTTAGATTTAAAAACACAGTAAATAATAACAACAAATTGTCAAATATCAATTAAAAGCTCTACAGCGCCTTGACTAGATCTACCACATAAAATATTTTTCATAATTATTAAAAATAAATTGATTTTGTTTAAAATTATTGTGCTACAAAGTTAAACATAACTGACTGAAACTGCCTGATACATACAAATATGTACAATGTACACTTTATGTGTAAAAAAAAATAAATAGAACATTTTTCCATAAATACTTTAGTCCTTAGATCTCCTAATTAAAAAGTTTCAAGAGGATGACTACTATTACAAAAACAATTTCAAAATTTCAATCCATAGTATGAAAAAATTCTGAACTTCTTTTTAAAACTTTTAATTATTAAACATGTTATTTTAAATAAATATTTACTATTTTTGTAATTTGTATACAATCGTATTTAAAATATAACTACTGTACTTCCGTACGTTTAGTTTGAAATATTTTACCTATAGATACGTGATTTTTAAAATTAAAACAAAATAAAAATTAATTTAAATTTTACCAGAATTACATAAAAATGATTAAAATTCGTTTCCGATACAATCTAGTAGAGAGACGTTTATATCAAGTGAATGCGCGTTTTGTATAATCTCTCTCTCTCTCTCTCTCTCTCTCTCTCTCTCTCTCTCTAGTCCCTGCTCAACGTCACATACACTACACAGCAACAGCACTCGATTAGAGATATATAAATACAAAAATCGTCCATCAGATATTATCGGGGGAAACGTTAACAATTTATCGAGTGTTATCTACATATTTTATAATGTATATCCGAAATAGTGTAACTCGGGGAGTAAGAAAAAAGAGCATTCCGCAACATGCCGTCTAGTAGAATACAGCTGCAGCGCTGCACCATGTGACGATTCACAGCAAAGGTTTCTAAAAATTGTTTTTCAAAAAATACTCTTTGATCATCCGAATTTTCCCGATGGCTACTATTTAGCATCAGTGAGAAAAAATATTATTAGCTGTTCTCGATTTGTGCGTGCTCAATAACGTATTTTACTTACGATTATGTGGTCGCCTATGATACTTGTGAATTGCTGCTAACGACGTTAATCATCCTCTGAAACATGATTGCATGTAGTTACTTCTAAGTTTATAAATAAAAAATAAAGTTATTAGTAATAATTAACCTTTTTTTATCTTCCAGTCAATTAAACCTCTTAGTGGGACCTCGGAGGCAGACGTTGTTTAGATAGCTGATTACAACTTATAAGTGATATATTTATTACACCTTGTTTTAGTAACTCATACATAAATATATATTATATATATAAATATATGCATACATTATGACTCAATATTATCATATAGACATAATATGTCATATGCATATTATGTACCCTTTTATAGGACCCATTTACATTTTTTAATTTGCAATGTCGTTGTATTATTGATTGAAAAAGTTTTCTATAAACATCTAAAATTGATTTTTCTATTCGATAATTCCCTAGAGTAAATTAATTGTTAATAACAAAATCGGTTAAACCCAATTCCAAATTGATCCATGCTTTCAAAAAAAAATTATAATGCTTTTATATTTATTGAAATTAAATGTATTTTTCTTTAATAGTTATAAAAATCTTAATACGATACAATAAGTGTATTTTCTTTTAATTATGAACCAATAAAACTGTTTTAATTAAATCAAATAATATACATTTTTACGATTTTACATGTTGCGTATTTTTAATTTTATTTACGGTTTAATACAGGTATTTAACCATTTATTTATAATTTTCCACTATTTAAACATTAAACGTATTAAACTATTCAACGGTAATTTGTTTAAGACTTGATTGGTATATAACCAAACCGGTAAATATAACATTACTTTGATGTAATTGTATACTTGTATAGTTGTATCGTTAGGTGTAATGATTTTACCAACTACAACTTACTGGTATTAAATAAACAACTTTGCCACCTTGGTAAATTGAATCCATGAATTCCCTAGATGTTTGTCGAAAATGTTCTCTACAATGTTCTATTATAGGGGTACAAAGTTGATAGTTTGTTTGTTCATTATTTGCTTTAGTCCTGAAATTATAGACATGCCAAAAAAGTAAATAAATGGTTACCCATCATGTAAATTTAATGTAATTTGTACGTTTACAGAAGGACAATTCCAAAGTGACGCTCTTTTGGTGCCCGAAAATTGTATATTCGATCACGTGCATAATCAGAGCAAATGCTGGCCTTTTGATCGCTGGAACCAGACTGCGGGTCAAGCTTGTCAGGATCGTGACCACAACTTAAGAAGTTTCGCCATGTTGCTCCCTTGTGGCATATCGTTGTTTTCCGGTGTAGAGTTTGTCTGCTGTCCATATAAAGGTAAAAATTTAATCACGCAAATACTTGAATAAAATATAGTTTTAAATATAATTTACACAGGTTATTATAATTATTTATATTTTCACGTATAAATAAAAAAAAAATTCAATTTATCAGGGCATTTCATTAATATGCTTCCAATATATTATTCATGTTGGCTATTTTATTGACTATTTTATGATATTAATATTATTATTAATAAAAACAAAAATTGAACGTAATCGAGCTCTAATTTTAAAAAAACCATAATATATATATATTGTCTTGAAAATAATGCCTATATATTAAACTATGTTCAAATACCTATATAAGTAAAATTATTTTTTACAATTAAAAACCGATGTTTTTTAAAAGATTAAATGAAATATAAAATTATCATTAAATATTAAACTGTGATTAATTTTTTGAGAGAATTTTTATTTCAAATGATTTATAGCTACCGCATAATTGTGTACTAAGTGTAATTCTAAAATTAGTTAACTAAAATCATAAAATTATTATAACATCCGTCAAAAATGATTCAAACTTAATTACTCTTTTCTAACCTAATTATGATTCCTATACTTTTAGATAAAATCCAATTGAAGAAAACGGCACCAGTAGCTGCAGATAGTCTTCTCTCTTCGGATCAATTCGACGTAGAAGAAGACATCGATGACGACGATGACGATGAAGATGATGATGACGAAACAATTGACGAAGAAGATGACGACGATGATTATGATAACTATGATGACATGCCACCGTCTCGCATGTCATCGACTTCGACTTCTACTGCAGCGCCAACCACCAGTACCTCCACTACCACAATGGCAACGACCACGAGGAAAGCTACTACCACCACGACAACCGTACCACCACCGCCTCCTCCACCACCATCTACTCCCGAAAGCTCTCACACAACACCATCCAACCCTATTAGGAACTTGCCGACCCCAGACACGTATTTCACGCATTTCGATCCCAGAGACGAGCATAAGTTGTACAAAGAAGCTCTGAACCGATTGGAGGAATTGCACCGTGAGAAGGTGACTAAAGTAATGAAAGACTGGTCTGATTTGGAAGAACGGTACCAAGAAATGCGTTCAAAGGACCCACACATGGCAGAAGAGTTCAAACAACGAATGACGCTCCGATTCCAGCAAACAGTACAATCCCTGGAAGAAGAAGGTTCAGCGGAAAAACACCAACTGTTTGCCATGCATCAACAGAGAGTGAATGCCCATATTAACCATAGAAAGAAGGAAGCCATGAACTGCTACGTTTTTGCTCTCAACGAAAACCCTCCGAATGTAAGTATTAAGTATCGAATTTAATCAAACCTAATATTATTATTTAGATGATGTTGTATCAAACAGATCATTATTATTTAAAATAAATATTAATACAACTAATGCTTTTTGTGCTTGATTTCAGACTCACAAAGTACAGAAATGTCTTCAGAAACTTCTCAGATCATTGCATAAGGACCGCCATCATACAATAGCACATTACCGACACTTACTGGCATCTAGTATTGAATTGGCGGAACGTGAAAAATCAGTCACGTTGGAACATTTGGTAGACATTGATCACATGGTCAACCAATCGCTGCAAATGCTTTACAGGTACGCACGCATAGAGGAATGTTATTATATCGATTCATTATTTAAAAAATGTATATTTCACTTCGCTTTATTTTGTCATTTCGTACAGATATCCAACATTGTCACGCAAGATTTCGCAATTGATGTCGGACTACATCCAAGCACTCAGGAGCAAAGATGATACTCCAGGGTCGCTTTTGGCCATGACCAGAGATGCCGAAGCTAGTATACTGGATAAATACAAAGAAGAAATCTCGACCACACAAGAAGGTTAGCTAAGAGCTTCTTGTGTATTAACAATTTATTCATTTTTGTAATATTTTAATATGTTTGTTATGTAGACAAATCTCGCGCAAGATATCCGATGGAAATGAAACGCAAACAACCGCACGAAATGGTTGAATCAAAGGAGGCCAAACTTCAAGTTGAAACAGCCGCTGAGTTTGATGCTAACGAAAACTCTGAAACCCAACCACACCCAGGTCAGCAACTACAGGCCCAACAACAACCCACGGCAACCAAACCAGATCAAAACGCCGCTGCCGCCGCTCCAGCCGCTGCTGTACAACACCACGACCACGATTCCGAACCAAAAGTCTCTCATGCCCAAGTGCATGATATAAGTCACGGAGAGCCGGTAATTTTTATGTATAACCATAATTTGTAACTGTACCACTTATCAGTGGCGTACCTGAGGGGTGGCAGCAAACGAATTTCCCAACTACTTAAAAAAAAATTGTTATGTACAAAATGAATATACTTTCATATAATACTTTAATAAGTACTCTCCTCATTAAGTTGCTACGATTACTATTAGATTTGGTATTGTTTCATAGTGAGTAATTTAATACCCTCTCCTCTCCATGAAAATGTTCAAGGTACGCACTACCTCTTAATAAGTATATTTAGTAAACTAATTCTTTCTGATTCGGTAATTTTTTGCAGACATTCTTCACCCGGAAGAACTTCCACCGTGATTCAAGGAACGTCCACCTAACGTTGGCATTTGCAGGATTGTCGTTAATAGCCGCAATTTGTGTCGGAGTAGCCGTGATTCGCAGAAGAAACGCCAGATTGCCACAAAATCAGGTAACGTTATCGCGCTGCTTTTGTTAAATCATTTTCTGTTGACATTGTTATAAAACTACCGGTTTTTATAGGGATTTATCGAAGTCGATCAAGGTATATCCCAAGAAGAACGTCACGTAGCCAACATGCAGATAAATGGATACGAGAATCCCACTTATAAATATTTTGAAGTCAAAGATCAATAAGTGAGTACAACCTGTAACATGTAATTTGAACTGTTGATGTTAATTCATCGTGTAGAATAATTGAATCGTCATATTTTGTTTAATATTACCAAAAATATAATAACTATTCTTGTTTGTTATTTTTCAGAAAAAAAATTATAGCCCACATAGCGAGATACGTACTTAAGGAGACGATTTTAACCACCCAGCAGCGTTTTAACCATTTATCTATATATGCATAAATATTTACATAAATATGGATGTACGTGATACAAATAGGAACATATTATTAATATATATATTATGTATCTATATAAATATATAATATATAATTATATATTATATATATATAGGTCTGATTAATTACAAAATTAACGTCGTTTTATGCATAGATGTAGGAAGGACCATAATAAACTTCTAGACAAAAGTGCCATTTTATTTTCATTCCATTTAAAAACAATAATAACATATCCATTATTTTACGAAAAGTTTTAACGAAATCGCCTAATGCATTGTTCTAGTCAAAACATGCTTGTTTTTCATTAGTCATGTTGGACATTCATATTATACACAATATTTTAAAAAACATTTAAATAATAATTATACTCAAAACGTGTACATTGTAATTATCTTTTAACCTTTGTCTAGCGCTTTTTTTTAAACTATGTAGTACCATCAGCATTATTAAGTTAGAAATATATTTATAGTTAGATATTTGAATTATAATAATTATTATGATACAATACGATAATTTAAAAAAAAAAAACTTACATTTAGATAAATAGTATACACATTCTCTTTTTTTTAAGTACCTATATTATTATTATTATTATTATTATTATTATTATTCATATTATTTTATTTTTAATAATGACAATAAAATAACAATAGACAAAAAATAATAGTGAAAAAACAATATAAAAGAACAAATAATGGTTATAATGATTTATCTACAACTTCCAATATTATATTGTACGTCTCGCTTGTTATTAAATTCTGATTATTTTAGTTAGTTTTTTTTATTTCATATTCATAATTAAGATTACTTTTTTAATTGTTAAAAGACACTACCTATTAGGACAATTAAGATATCTCATTTTAATTATTATTATATTTTTTTTTCGTCATCACTCTATTATATAAAAATATATACCTAGTAAGATATTATATTATATTATAGGTAGGTATATTATTTAAGCATTTAGAAAGTATACTATTATAATTTATATTATTTTTGTGTAAATTTAAGAATAAAATGGAACAAAACGTATGTTTTTGAATCTGATATAACTTAAAATAATAATAATTACTAAGTGTTTTTCCAAAATGTTATCATTACCTACCTAAAAATGTATGTATAACTAATTTATTTATAAAAATAAAATTGTATACATTAAAAGAAATGGTTGATTACATCGTGTATTTATTTTTTCATTTTTTCATCGTTTTTTCCTAATTCATTATAATATTTTGTTCCTAAGATCAACATATTTATTGTTACAAAATAACATTTTATGACAACAAGTAACTAATTAATATATAATTTAAAAAATATTTTTTTTACACATGATCTATAATCTATATGCATAGGTAGTGGTGCCGAATTTGTCAATGTTGTCAATTTAAATTACTTATTACTTAATGTACGTAGTTATCCTTTAAACTTAGCCGAGATACAATTCAAAATGAATGCGTTTTTTATTGTTAAATAAAATATATACAATAAAATAAATAAAATAATACATAACTAGCTCCATAAACAAATTTCAACTCAATCTTTCGATTTCTTAATTTGTTGATTCCCAGGTTTATACAGATTATGATACTTATTAATTGTTTGCTCATGATCTCATAGTATTTACTATTGACTTCAGTCCAATATAAATGATCAAATTTTCGTCAGGCTATAAGGTATAATATGGAATAAAAAGTAAACCACTCCAAATCTCCGATAAATTTTTTTACAATATACAAGGGTTAATATTATGAAAGTCGATAAATATTTGATAAATATATTTACTTCCAATATATCATTAATTATTGAATTTTTGTATGAATAACTTATACTGTCATGATAAATAAATTAATAGTTATTAAGCTATGAAATAAAGCAAAAAAAATGTTTAAACAAACTACAAATATAATTTTAAAAGAAATTTATCGGTTTAATAAGTTTATAAGAAGTAAAGTACTACATTGTATAGCGTCCAAGCCCTACTTAGAATTCCAAATAAGATATTCTCACGGCTCAGATAAAATTTCAAATTACTTCAAAAATAAAATGTAAGATGTTTTGGTACATCGATATTTCTTTTTTTGTTATTATTGGTATACATATAAATAACCATACAAAAACCATTTTCCAAGAAGTAAAATATTATACTAATACAGTGTATTGATCATCAATATTGAAAACAAGAACAATATTATTTTTAAGTACTTATGAATTATAGATAAAAATAAATGTATATTAAATTACTGTGAAATGTAAATTGTAATTCCTTGTAACAGTAAAAAAATAATTATATCATTTTAGGAATTTTGGTCATAAATTACTTCTTATTTCTGTATACTAATATTACTAATATTTGTATTTGTCTATTCGTATAAACAAATAAAGCAACGTCATATTTATTATTACAATATTCAATTTAGGATCCGAATGAGTTTTGGTATAAGTTTTTTTAGTTTTAGATTTGAAAGGTTCACAAAGTACCTTTTATAATAACATTTTCTAGACATTTGCTAATTTTTTTAAATATTTATAGGTACACTTTTCAGCTACATTTAAACACAATTGAAATTATTGCTTTTTTTTAGTTTTTTTTATGTACTCGTATGTTAATCAACATTTTTGTAACTCGGTCAATAATCTTAAAATTCAATACAAGGTTTGAAGGTCCATCATTATCATAGCCCAAGAACCATCATGGCCAATCTCAAAAAAATCGTATTTGCGTTTTATGTATTAATGGATTCGTATTTTAAAAACGCTTGAGCCGGTATAATTAGTTGTAAGGTTTGGCCCACAGCAGGCCATGTTTTTTTTTAATGTGACAACAATTTCAATTAATAAATAATAGGTATTAAGAAATCTAATATAATAAATAGGCGTATATCGATAGCTCCCAAACAACGTTTTCACCTGTAAGAAATCTACTGATTGCGCCCCGTATCAACTCCGCTGAATTTTTTTACACATTGATTCCGTCGGCCATCAATCCGCTGAATATTTGTAAATTATTTATTCGTGTTATATTTCCGTTGTGGACGACAACGTTTGAATTGTTTTTGAAATGTTGTTATTTAAACTAAAAAATTACGATGAACTAAATGTGTACCCATAATGTTAATTTTAAAAAAATACTTTATTATATGATGCATCGGTTATTGTTTAATAACTTAACTGTCAGCGGAATCAATGTATGCAAGTATCGGGCGGAATAAATGTAGATAGCCCATGCGGAATTGATATTAAAACGGTGGAATCGATAAAACCTCATAATAAATAATTAGTCATTTCAAAAAGTCATCACTTATACTAGTTATACATAAAAACATGATATATTGCTTATTTATTTAACGCAATTATACGCACTTAACATACTAGTAACGTATTTATTTTTTTTTTTTGCTAAGTTTTAGGTAGTAGGTACATTTAATTAAAGTGGATTTATTTTTTGGAGTGTTTGGAATATTTTAATTGGCGGCAATTTGTTAAATGTAAGTGTCCATCTGGATATTTTCAACCAACGTTTTTAAAAATATGCTTGTAGCTGTGTGTTATTTTTAAAACTGTTGATAAAACTGTGAATAAAAAGGTTCACAATTATTAGTAGTTTGGCGTAAACTTTCCATCATGCATATTATCTATATTTTTAGGGTAAACAGTAGACACTAGTAGAACAGTCTTTTTGTAACATTTCCATCGGTTTGGCTTAAATTAATATTTAAAATTATCCAAAACTAACTTTTTTTTACCATTTTTACTTTTTATAAGTTCAATGGTACTGGCTATTAGGTTATTAAATGACAAATTTGCAAATACGATTGTGCCGTACATTATAAGTATATAATACTTTAATTTTATAAAATAGGTACCTACAAGCTACAGAAAATGATACTTTTATTTTAATCATATATTCATAATTCATAATTTATACCTTTATGCAATATACCTTTCATATTATGTGGGTATAAAATAATTTGTGATCGATAAGAGTTTTATACTTTTATGGCATATAACATTATTGTTTACAATGTATTACATTAACTATAAGTGTTAATTACTGCGTCCTAACCTAAGTTTTTTAAAATATTATGTATTATATTTTCTAAGTTAAGACAGTAAAAATTGAATAAAAATGAATATTAGTTGCACTTCTTTACAATAAAAAAAACCCGTTTAGTGACAATTGTTGGTGAAAGTTTTCAATTTGCAGTCGCCAGGACAGAAGCCCAGAACAGGCCCTAAAATACCAAAATTGCCAAAATCTATACCTATAATTATAGGTAATAAGTCTGTCTCTTGACGAAAGCTCCGGGTGAAATGCGTCAGAAATACGCTAGACCCCGCAAGTCGATGTGCAACCTAAATTCAGGGATTTGTATTTTACAAACTATAAATAGTATAAACCGCATTAGTGGTGTAGGACGTATAGGTAAATCACAGGTTTAAATCTCTCGGTTTATCTTAATTCGTGACCATGGAGGGCAGGGGTGGCTCCAGAGATCTGGTTGTTGGAGGGGAAAGGAAATCATAATTTTCAGAAAACTATTAATGATAAAATACGTTTTTTTTTGTAATTTTGTTTTTAATATCATACAATTTTTCAGAACCACGGGCTTGGGAGTTTGAGGTGCGCAGCCTCTAGTCCCTCCCCCCCCCACGTGGACCATGACTAAGCTTCTTATATTATAATACTTGTTCTCACCTAATAAAATCTAATCTAAAAATTATAAAAAACAATATTATGAATATTATGATAAACGATAAGCGGTGGCGATAACAACTACCTACGTCCTTCGTTACAATCTTAGAAGTTAGAAGACACGACTGACTGTGGACTTATAAATATTATCATAGACATTTGAGTAATAAGCATTTTAATTTATTCATTTATGTCTAATAATAATTTTAAATATAAGTCTGTGATAACAACGGATATTATTATATTTTCGGTCGGTCGTCGACTCGGGGTGGGCGGATTCTACCGTTGGCATTCTGTGGGACCGTGGGGGTTGGTCGCACTGAGAGCCATTCGTAATGAATTCCTCCCGAGACCGTCCCGTCGATGCTGATCGGCGGTGAAGAAGTGAAACACACATTGGGTAGAAAAAAAACCAAAAAATATTAATAAAAAACCTACTTGCATTCGTCGTACGATAGATATCATAATATTATGCGATTGGAAATTTGGAAAATTGTTGTTGACATAAGACAATAACAACAATAAAAAAATCGAAAAAAAAACAACAGTATTTATTTACAACGATCGGCTGCGCACGGCTGTCGTACAATCTCGTAGGTAAAACTCGAGTTACCGTCGGATGTGAGTGTGTGTGTGTGTGTGTGCGTTTATGTGCGTGCGTGCGCGTGTGTGTGCGTTTCG